ACGTCCGTATAAGCTCGCTCGAAGTAGATCTCCGTGTATCAGGGAATCGTGACGAGTTTCCGTTCTCGCTGCCAAGTGGTCTCTACCGAGCTAATTTCCCCCCCGTTTGTACGTTTTCCGAAAAATCCAGTTTAGAGTGCACCAAAACCTATCGTCACAGAGATTAATCTAATATTTACCTATATTAGATTAGATTAAATCTCATAAATACTATTTTTTTCTTACTTTTCAAGGTTATTTATATTTCTTAATTGATTTGAAATCCTTTTGTTCTCATGTATTTCAGACTAGTCATTCTCCCTTGAATGCTCTGGAGATGAGGAAACTTCATGAAGAGAAATGTGAAACTCAATGCTTTCCATTTCAGTTCATTTTTTTTTTTATACATATTTATTTTTTGTGTGATTAACTTGGTCAATGAGTGTATTTCTAATAAAGAGTAATAGCCTTAATCAATTTTCATAAATGTGAAGTTTTGGGTGGAAAGAACCATGATCTCAGATTAAGTGTACAGATTCCCTTTTTGAGAGCGATAAGATTGTCAGGCGTGGCTTTAAAGATAAATCAGATGATAAGTTTGACTACCACATTGCTCCTATGTCCCACTGAAAGGAGGGCAGTTTGTGCTCTTAGCAGACTAAAGAATATCTTACCCTATAGATCGGAAGAAGCCCTCTGATTGCGCTGTCATTCGACCACATTTTTATTATTGTTAGTTTGGGGAGAAATACCAAGAAACTGGAAATTATAAAGAAGCGCCTTATAAGTTATGCGTGCAAAGATGAGAAAGCAACTCTTCATGAGTTATTAGATTCGGATTGGTTAAGGCGTTGGGTTGGAAAGTTGAAGATTTTATGATACGAAGTTTTTTGACACAACTGGGAAACCACGCGCTCTGATTGGTTAAAACTTTTTCGACTATTATCCTGGTAAATCGATAGAAAACTGAAACAATATTCTGGTTTGAGAAATGGCACCCCACGGAACGAATTTCCAGATTGTTATTGAAGGCCTTTGGTTTGGTGGAAACAAAGAGGACACTTTGATCGCCGAAAACAAAACGAGAAAGTTTTTTGTTTTTCGAAAATTTATCATATTTTCCATTCAAAACGCAGTATAACTTAATATTCGCGCTCTTCTACGCCTTAATTTTTCACAGCGCGGTAAAAGTGAAAGAACTTTAGAAAGTATCGACTAGATTTCCCAAACTGTTTGTTGATAGAGAGTAATTAAACACTTGTAGAATTAAATCTTTTAAAGGTGTCATGCCAAATAGTTTTTTTTCTTTTTTAAAGCAAGAATTCTTAGTTTTTGGAGATTTGCAAGCGATTTGAGGAAAATATACTTTCGGTCTATTTATGACAAAATATAGAAGCTGCAACTTTTCTTTTTACTTTGTCTGCAGTGGAAGCAATACTTGATGGGAAATGATTGCTCGGAACTGATTGCGCTTGACAGTACCACCATTGCTGGGTTTTTATGCAACACTCCTCCGGTCATTTTCTCTTTAACTTTGACTTTGAATTAACTCGTAAAGAGAAACTATCCAGATACTAAGATAAAGAAAAATGTAACTTCTGACGTTTGGGTGACATGGGAACGAATTGGTCAAAAATCAATTTTCTTGTAACCGAAGTCGCGCGTAAACATGAGTCGGGAAATGCATATTAAAGAGAGGAAACTGATAACTAAACTCTTTACCATAATGGTGCATAGCTTTACAGGCAAAAAATCGAAAACGACGACGCTGCCTTTAACAAGTGGATACAAACACTGACCGCAGGACTAAATTTATACAAAAACCTTACAATGTACTCCACATAATCACGTAGCATAACGCAACGGCACAAACATCAACCTCAAGTACACAAGATAACTAACGAAACGTACCAACACTCACAGGTAATTAACACGAAAATGCAATGCATACAGGAAACGGTATGACAACAAGTTTCGCAATAGCAATTCTGATGGTACGTTAAAGAAGTTTGCGTGGCATCGTGGAAGTTTCGGCTTATTTAAGCGTTTCGCGGAAAAATTAAATAATTCTAGGTTGGTCTGTCTTATGATTGACAATTTTTTTCTTTGTTTGTTGAAATTTTTCTTTTCTAACCCCTGTAAAATATCATTAGAATCATTGATTTTTTCTTTTTGATTAGTGGTGTAACCAGGTTAGTTTACCCTTTCTAGGGGTATTGCGCAGCCGCATTAATTAGATGAGTAATAAGTCTCCACATCGCACAAATTTTGGCCACACCTTAAGATTGGCTCGTAGTGACTATTTGTATCTGGCGTAGCACAGGTTTTTTTTCGTAGAACCCTTTATTTCATAGTATACATGTAAAGATTGTATCAGGGTGCGAATACTACTAGACTGACAGACTCATCCTTAACAAAATGTTCACATCGAATGTCTCGTGTGAGTGTAGTCACAATGATAAGTAAACGGTTGGCAGTTAAACATCACATTTGTCAAAACTGGTACTGACTCTACTTTCTTTATTAGAAACACATTCATTAACAAAGCTAATCACAAAAAAAGGAAAATAATCAAATTGAACTAAAATGGCACACATTGAGTTCCGCGTTTTTTTCCATGAAATCCCCTCATCTCTACCGTGCTCAAGGGAGGATAACACGCAAGTCTGCAATACATGAAAATAAAAGGATTTGAAAGTTAATTAAGAAATATTATCTACCGACAAGAAACTCTAAATTGAATTAGTAGCAGAAGAAATTAAAGATATCAACGACAACAACACAGAGGAGTATTATTTTCTATTGTGGCATCCCAAAGAGAATGACGACTCGGTACCTGAAATACAAGAAAATAACTCGGCTAAGCCATACAACGGGGCTCAGTGCACTTTGACGCTTTGCAGTCTTGGAAAAAGTTACAGTCGTTCCTCGTGATACTGTGATCCATTTCGTTGGTGCAATTACGAGTGAATGTACCCAAGTTATCCGAAACTGCCTCACAAATAGGGTGCTTTTGGGTGCAGGTTTCCATCTTGATTTTTTCATTACAATCGGCTTCAGCAGTTTTGCCATTTCCTTCCATGCCGCTACAGGAAGGGCACTGAAACTCTGTAAAAGGCAAAAAAAAAAAAGACAACATTTGGCACCCTCTAGAGCCCCGTTAAAATGGTCATGATGGTTGATGAAAGTTGACGATAGTTCAAACTTTCAGTCACTATCATAGACTCTCATGTTTGCGTTCAAACGGTTCATGATAGGTTGGCGATGGTTGCCAAAATCACGCAGTGAGACTACGTTATTATTAACAAATAAGGCGCGCGCTGAGTTCAGCAATTTTGGTGGGATTTAAAATTTTACCCAGGAAGTTGCGATTTAAAGCGGATACTGAAGCCTCCCAGGAGATAATGAGAATAAAGAACGAGACATTCTAGGAAATTTTGACTCACGTCTACTTTAGTTAGTAATTAGTTTTATTTGCTTTTCGGTTTGAGCCCGTTTTGGCAAAACTGTTGACCGAAAACCTGTCGTTTACTAAGATCATCCGCTCGTTCAAACATCAAAAACTATCATCAACCATCATGTCGAATTTAAACATGTCCAAACTACATGATAGTTGATGATAGTCGATGATAGCGCATGATAGTTCGTGTTCAAACGCGCGTGATAGTTGAAAATACCATCCACCGTGGATGGTAGTTTCAACTATCACGCGCGTATAGTGACTATTAGGGTTGTTTGAAGGGGGCTTAAAATTTTATTTTCCCAATCGGTGGAATTTTATACAATAAAACTACGCAATCAGTGAACCATACCACTGTATCACGTATACCGTCAAGAAACGTATTTATTTTCGGGAAAAATGACTCCCAGAGCCTTAAAAAAAGTATTTCAGTATAGTGATGTCACAACTTCATTTTCAAGGCAAACGGTCATCTGGAGCGCGTACAGAAAAGACATAAAAATGTTTCAAAATAGTTCAGTCACGTCCGGCCCTTAATGAAAGAAAATACAAATGCTCTGGAATGCACTGTTCAGAATATTTCAATCTCCGCCCTCGCTTTCGACAACATATCTTCGCCTTCTTTAAGATTTATCGTTCAAATAGCTTTACAAGCCTTCTAAACATCTGAAAATATATGAAGTAATCAGAAATACTGCTGCCAATAAAGAATTGGTCCATGCTTAGCGTGCGTATATCGAGTTGCGGAAGCACGCGGGAAATTTGGAGAGAAACTTATTGAGTATCCTCCACCTTCTGTTGTAACAGCAATTAAACTGCTCGATTGTTTACATCTGATGTTCCTGGAAGCTGATTTAAACCTGGTTATTTAATAGCGAACGAATCTATTGACGAGCACTAATAAGCTAACTTGCACTTAACAAAATTTAAACTTTCGGTAATTGTTGAGACTATCAGATTTTTTGGCGGGTGTCTGCTAAGGATACATGAAAGTTCTACCGGTGGTGGTTTCCACTTAGCGATTTAAGCTTTATATACGACCGGCAAACTGATTATTCCTCAGTTGTGCCCTTCAAGGTAACCAGGTGGTAAGTCAAAAACAGCCTCTTAACGAAATTAATTTTGCTATCATGTCCATGACAGCTTTCCGATGCGAATTTTTTTTCTTATATTAAATGTAAGTTTGAATGTATTCCAGTTTGTTAATCGGCTCACCCCTTTCAGCACAATCTCACCATTTTTCTAAAACTCAAGTTGTTTGTTGAGTCTATTCTCTCTGGCTGTTAATCGGCCCTCGTCGTTTTCATGCGCTCGAACTTTCAAAAAGCGAAAAGAACCACCGCGGAACTTGTCTGACTTTTTTTGCTCTTTCTAATATGCATAATCCATAATCGACCCGTGGACATTACCGCCATATAATTCCCTGCCCTGATCTCGCTCTTAGTCAATCAGAGCGCTCGTTATATCGCACGGCAACAAGCTTTTAACAGCCATGCAGTTAAAAGGAATAATTTGTTTCAATAAGTGTTGATAATTGATCAATATCTACTTGAGACACGCTCTACGACTTACCGTACTTTCTTATGGTACAATCACCGTGTTCCTCGCACTTGTTCAATAAAGTTTCATATTCCACTTGGTTGACGCAACCACGATTGAAATGACCCTTATCGCTTGTGTACACTGCACATGTCGGCGCCTCTTTTGGACAAATCTCCATCTTAATTTGGCTATCGCAGTCATTTTCGTCCTTGCCTTCACAAGACGGGCATTGAATTCCTTCAAATACTGAGGAAAAGAAGAAATGCTGGGAAACCTGTCGTGAATTCAACTTTGGTAATTGGCTCCGTGATAAAAAAAAAACCGATTGATTTTCCCGCTCTTTCCTTGACGAATTATAGGTTGAGAAAGTGGATTCTCAGCTGAACGTTTAGTGAACGTTTATCCCCTCAGTGCATCGAATAATTATCCCACGCACCGATATTCGAAGGGTTGATTTGAGTATGGACAAGTACTCGCAGCTTACCGTTCTTATTCCTCGTTAACTCAAGTGTAAATTTTGTTTTTAGAATTCCTTTGGTACAAAAGGGTAACACATTCATACCTGGCATCTCTCCTCCCATGCATCCCGGCTGAGTGCATTTTTCGGCTTTGCACCCCTTGCTTTGGCATTTTTCCACGGTTTTGTCGTAAAGAATTTGGTTCATGCAATGACGAGCGAATCTTCTCAACTCAGAAATGTAATATACCGCACACACTGGCGTCTTCCTGCTACAGGTTTTCTTCTTTATATTGATATCACAATTAGCTTTGGCTGTGGCTTCATCTTTTCCCTCGCCGATACATGTTGGGCACTGAAACACTTCAAACAAGGAAGAAAAAAATCGTTGTTAAGTAGAATTAAATATGATATCCCCTCAGTCTTGACGACTTCCATGGGCGATGCTGTATGGACATTACTCATCTCTCTTTCCAGAAATTTCATTCCGTAACAAGTGTTATTTTCCCTCTAATGACATTTTTTGAACCAAAAGAAAAAGGGAAAAAGTCAAACGGAAGAATGGGAAGAAATGGAACAAAAGGAGCAGAACTCTGATTAAGGAGGTGGTAGGAGATTTTTGTTAGCTATGAAATTCAAATAATTGGAGTCTACTGAAAATTTTGCCAAATAACAAGTGTGAATAACAGATCATTACTAAGCGGTTGTACGTAAGCCGCGCCCTTTCACTTACCGTACTTCACCATTGAACAATCGCGGTATTTCTCGCACTCGTTCACGATGTGGTTATATTCCTCCTGGCTGACGCAGTGACGACTGAATTCATCATAGATACTTTTGTACACTGCACATATTGGCGCCTCTTTGGGGCAAGCTACCATCGTGATTTTGCTGTTACAATCAACTTCGTTATCTCCTTGACAAGTGGGACATTGATTTTCTTCAAATAGGAAAATAAAACCGTTGACAAGTAGCGTTAAAATCGACGATATCTTTTATTGATGATATGACAGTTACATGTGTATGGTATGAAACAAAGAAGGCAGCGATGCATCAATTTTACCTTTTTTATCATTTTACCCGTTGAAGGCTGTAGCGCAAACAGCCGAAAGCTCGTATTTTTAAAAGTTTTAGCCAGAGATCGTTTTTTAAATTTCATAAGATGTTTTATCCTGGCTGCGGCCCCTCTATCTTTTCAAGAAATCATATAGTTCACCACTGATATGTTACTTACAGGTTCCTTCTTTTGCTCACCAAGAAAAAAAACGTTGCCTGAAATTAGTGGGCTATACTTGAACTTTTGACAGCTGGCTATTCAAATGTTAAAGCCTGCAAGGATCGTTTGCGCCCGCGCTTCTGCCGGAGACTAATTTGATGCCAAAATCTCTTAGCATGTCACGTCATTGCAACCTTCAACGTAATTACAAACTGCAATTTTTTCTGCTCGGGATTGGATCATCCAAACTGTTTAGCTGCTCGATTTCTTAGAAAACGCTGCAAACATCCAGCCCCTACAAAATCTGTCGTCTACCTAAGGTTCATCTATGGCATCTTCCCGTTGTGGACTACAAGGGAAAGCGAGATCCAAATTTTTTGTTTTCGCTACAACCTCCACGCGACTATTAATCTCACTCTCTTATATAGTGTCACTATAAAAGAGTTTATTTGGAGCTGTTTTCCTTTTTATTGAAGTTAAGGTGAGTGAGACATTGGCATCTTATCTGAGACAACGTGTGTCTCTTGTAGTAGAATGGTCAGATCGCTTAAAATATTTCTTTTCAGAGCGAAAATATTTTTAATAACAAGATAAAAATGATTTGGAGTTTTTCATCATATAGTAGGTGGCAGTATTTTCAAAAGTTGAAACGGGAAAAAGTTTGTCTGAAGATCTTTTAAAGCGTAAATAATTCTTCGTGACTCTGTTAATAATTTACAACCGTGTGAACGGTTTCCAACGGCTACTGAAAGGGCCCCCATCGCGAAAAATTTTTCTGCGGTCGGCAAGACCGGCTAAGGTATGACAACTGATGCATCAAAAGGTTTTGTGAATTTGTGAATAAATATACAAGTGCGCGGGTTATCACGATGGGAGTTGTTTGTTTGACAGGTGCATTGTTATTCATGTCTGGGCTCGAGACAGCTAGGGCTAGCTAGCTCGAAACGCGCCAATTTTGAACTCGACTTCGACGAGCAACTTTCAAATTGAAATGAATAAAGGTTCCACTGGACCATTTTTCGATTTAAAACAGATTCTCCTTCAGAGAAAAGATTATATACCATTTTCCGCGCTTGAAAATAGCTATTTAAAATAGCTTTCACTCTAAAAACCGAATTTTTGATTAATTTCTATTTTCATATGCAAAAAGATAGTTCTTCTATTTCCTAGATCTCCCTTATCACTGGTGTAGATTAAAGATACATCATTAATCTTAAAAGAATCCGTGTGAGAAAGGTGAACTTTCCATAGTTAAACTCACGAAAGCAAGTGAAACTTTTCAAAAACACTTAGTTGATCCAGTCTACAGCGAACGCATCGAAGGCAAACGTGATTATCTCGCCGGAGTAGAAGAAAGTTGTTATTCGTCATTGCTAAGTATTTACCTGCGGGAGTTTTTTCATCATCCATTGGTGAAAACGAGTGATCAGCGAGAACAAGACTCACCAACTGCCATAACATCATCATCATCATCATTACCTTCAACATTTTGGCAAAGTTCCTGTTGGTAAGTGTAAAAAAAGGGGTAGAGAAAAACTTGCCAGTATTTTAGATATTCTAACAAAACAGGTGTGTAGATTTATCTCGGGTTTTTCTTTACTGGCTTCAATAAATGCTGTCCCATAGCACTGGGATTCCTTGAGAGGTAGCTGGTTCTCAAAGCGCCACAAGATTTCTTTTTGATATGTGCGCGGTATAAATACTGGTTATTATTATTATAAGGTACCGTATCAAAGGCAAGCGTAGTATTTGGAAAAAGTCATTGGGAAAAGCGAACAATTCATAAAAAGGGGTAATCAAATGTTTCTTTTTCTTACCTCTAGATCTCTTGCTGTAATAACGAGTTAGCTGTTGATAAAATACGTTGCTAACCGCTCTCCTGACGTGAACTTCAAACAAGGTCCTTAAATTCTTCTGGGGGGATTAGTGCTCTCAACCATGAGTCCATTACTGACTCAACTTATTCTTGGTAAAGCGACAATGAAAAAAATCGGATGGCTTCTTGTCAGGGCAAAACAAAAGCTACAAAGACAAAAGTTTCCTGAAGTGAACTTCGAAAAAGTCCTTAAAGACTGATAGGGGGGATTAGTGCTCTCAACCATGAGTCCATTATACTCAACTTATTCTTGCTCAGGCGGCATCGCGGGCAATAAAAGGAATTGGGCGGCTTCTTGTCATGGCAAAAACAAAAGTTTCAAAGACTAAAGTTCCCGCTGAAAAATTTTCTTCCATGTTGGTGGGAAAAAACACAATCTGAGACAGTTTATCAAAGATAATTAAACCCGACTTTGCACTTTAAAGCTGATTTAAAATGAAAATAAACCAATGTTTTATTTTTAATATTAAAAATAAACTTGATTTACTTTAAGCAATCCCCTGGAGGCTTCCTTCTTTGAAAATACATAAAGTTTTCAGCAAAATTTGGCGGTGAAATACATTACAGTTATGAAAAAAACAAAAAAAAAACCAGGCGGGAGAAGAATGGAATGGTTACTGTGAATTAGCGTAGCGTAACATCAAAAACTGTCCTAAAAAGAGCGAAAAACGTGTTTCAACTTTTACTTCTTAAATCAAGCTGTTCCAGCCCTTGGGAAGTACAAAAGGCTTTCAGCATGTGATCGCTTAGTTGAGCTTCTACATAAAACAGCCTATCTACTGAAGCAAGTTATTCCATGTTAAGCTTAGAGCCAAGAGTTAAGCCAAAAGCTTAGAGTTTCGCCACGAGCTTAGAGTTCCATTCTAAATAATGGCGCACTCTACTTTTTAAGTTCATTCAAGGGATAAATCTTAAACACAAACAAAACAAAACAAAGAAGACTTAATATAATCTATAATGTTTTTATAATGTTTCATGTTGGTGAGCAGAGACAAATAGATTCGCGCCGTCTGCTCTATATCATGTCTTGATCCGTCGAACAGACTTTCTTTTTCTTTAAATCTGGATCCTCGTACTTTTTTATCCTTTCTGTGATAAAATTTTATTCTAAATGGGTATACATGTGTTCACATTTTACTTATCTATTCTCTAGGCAGGACTATACATTTTATCCCCCAAAGAGCTCAAACTATGGCGGATATCCAAACTGAATAAACAATTTTAACATTGTCTTGTTATACGAATGCAAATTAGCAAAAAATAGCACGCGCAGGCTTTCAAAATGTCGACTGTCTGAACTCTCTGTGATGTTTTTTCACGTAAATTATTAACAAGTAATAACATGATTTCGAGTGCAATTTGGCGTATTGAGCACTTGTAAATTTTTCCAAGACTACAAATTGCACTTGCCACTAAGGTGTAACTATTTTTCTTACCAACAAATGTACTAAATTGACTAAGGTTATACCATGGCCAGTAAACTGGTTAGGCTTAAGTTTATCTTATCAACAGCTATATCAATTCTTTTTAAAATTTAAGGTGGCTCGGCACCTACAGTACAGAATATTTTAAAACTTGAAGGAGAGATCAACCCCGATAGGTTGCTTATAATTCAGGAATAAGAAGACGAGACAGAAATCGAAGATTTTTTAGATTTTTTTTTTGCCATGGTAGCCTTATATATGAAAATAAAGAGTCCCACTTGTTAAGAATTAGGAGGGGTCATAGCTTACAGAGACTTCAGCTGAGTAGGGCACTTGAAAATGTTCGAAGGCAGCTCCTCTAAGCGGTTGTCCTGCAAATACCTAAAACAAATTTCGATGAAATTATCCTCCGCTGTTATTGATACTAAATGTTACGCCATTTTACCTTATAGCGGAGTGACAAAATGCCGCACAGAACGATCTAAAGGTCACTCTTAGGGCTTGAGCTTTGAAGCAACTAACTTTGAGCGTGATATTTTTTGCTGGTCATAAACACCATAATGGTTTGCTTTGTGTTGTTTCGTCTTTTACACGCGCCCTATGCGATCGATACGATGCATAGGTAAAAATGGGAGGATATATTTTGAAAATTAGACGCCGCCAGAAGACGAAATAATAGTAGAATGATAAATCCCTTTTCAATGGTTCTAGATGTAACACGTGCCGACATTTTGCCCAACCAATCCGGTCTCTATCTGGAAAATTATATTCATTGCTTTTTGTTGCCATGGAAAAGATAGAGGATTATTTTAAAAAATGATAGCTTTCCGAACTTACAACTTAATAAGCTGTGTGTTATTTCTGAAAATGTCTGAAGATAACTCCTTTAGTTGGTTTCTGTTTAAGTAACTGAGAACTTCAAACATAAAAATTATTTTTATCATTATTATCATCATAATCAAAACCATAACAACATTCTCGAACGTGATTGATTATCACCAGCCCGATTTGAGCACTAATAGGACAGTTTACATGTACGCGTCATGTTCGTGATTGGTAAGTGTAATAGGACACTTGATACGTCATGCCTGTGTAAGTGGACAGAACGCGTCATGTGCGCGCGCTGGTGTTGTGCATTTCGCCGAATTAACTGTTGTTTCTCAAATTTTTCATTGTTTTGGTTAATTGGTAACAACACTTCATGTCGTCCAATTCTCTCTATAATCATATTCTCAAATAACAAGGCAGACTTTCGCTTCGCGATTGTCCGATTTTGTAAATGATTCATATAATTACAGACCTATTAATATGCATGCAAAATGTTCAATATGTTCATTGGCTGAGAACACGTCAATAGGCTTTTCCGAGTTCTCGCGGTTCAGTGATCTGGCACCGAAATTGCGGCGCGAGAGTAAGGCTAAGTGCAAAGTCCCTTTCCACGGTATAAAGAATAAAGAGCCGTGGTAATGAAAATAGTGAAAATTTCTCAAAATCCACTGTGAGAGAGTGAGAGATTTTTCGTAGGAGATAGACGTTCAGTTAATTATGGTGGCAAAAGTATTTAAACGTTCGAACCGGAGGCCTTGAACAAAATTATCGAGGAGCTTACGCTTCAGCTCGTACGAAAGACAGGGAAGACAACCAGCGTGATGGCTTTCGTGTACTAGTGACTAGTACTGAGTGATAGCTAATTTAGAAAGAGCAAAAACGCTCGATTATTTGTGAAAGAGATTTTAACAATTTTTTTTGCAAAGATTTGCCAGCGAGCTAGAATCGTAGAAAACTTAGAAAGATTGGAATGGAAAATAGCTGCCGACAGCACGTAAATTTATACGAAAAAACACAAACTAGTATGATGTTAAGTAATTTGCATGCAAATTTTAGCTTTGTTCGCAGAAGGATGCCCCATGAGGAATGTTTAATATTAGGCTTCTTTGAAAATATCCTACTTTTAATCACTGAGTAGCATGATTAAAACTTTTTTCTTTGTTTTCTGTCGGCAGGTGGGCAACTGTCAATATGGAGCAAAGTGCACAAGAGAACAAAAGCATTATCATGACGATCACGATTGTACGTGGCTCGTTGTGATGGAAAACTTGCTGAAACAAAATTGCGTTTGAATCAAACCTGCAGGGACTTTCCTTTGTCATGGTTTTGGAAGCTTCTATTTCATATTTGATGTGTGCTCTTGTTATGTTAATTTCTTCAGTTTTTTTTTCTATTCTCTGGTATTTTTTTACTTTTGTTTGCCTTTTTTGTTTTGACTTGTTTTTTTTTTCTGATTCCCTTAAAATTAAATGATGATTTAATGCACTTAAACTATGGCAAGGACACACTTCAATTAAACATTCTTTTACTCATCACTTGATTTATTACTCTAGTAAGATACATGAAAAGATTTCTCAGTTCTGATTGGTTAAGAGAAATGCAGTTTTCAGGTAATTCAGTACAAAAGAGGGTTAATTCAGTGCCAAGAAGTAACAAACCAGACTGAACAATTCCTTGAACTTTTTAGCCGGACTCTGAACTTTTTTGAACCTAAAAGATGAGAAAATATCATTGTATGTTATTGTTTTGATCGTACGCGATTGTTTTGACCGAACGCATAATGTCACTTGCAGGGTTTGAATAAATTATTTTTGCACTTGATGCGCGCGCTTTGCTTCTGCACAATTATGATAACCTACCTCGTATTTTTTCATGTATATTATTAATACGTAATCATATGATTTTTCTCGTGCAATTTGGAATAAATAAACACTTGTGCATTTTTTCAAAAACCACAAATTGCACGAGCCCGTAGGGCTCATGCAATTTTGTTAGTCTTTGAAAATATCTACTCGTGCTTACTTATTCCAAATTGCACTCGAAATCATGTGATTACCTATACAAATGCTAAGGGTATAGAGAACACAAAACACTCGCGGTTTAAACTGAACGAAAATTACTACTAGAAAAGGCGTGAAATATGAAATCTAGAGGGCGGCGTAATTTACATAAAGCACGATAACAATGTTGAAAATATGAATATGTGACACAACGAAAAGAATGGGCGTAAATAAATGGTACGAGATACATAAGATATGTGCAAGAAATTGTAAATTTGCTAAGAGATTATTTTCTCCGATGGGACAATAGGATGTTAGAATATTTGTGTATTACAGTAGCTAACTTAAAGTTAAACAATGTGGCATATCAGTTTATTTGATATGTTCTCCGAAATTTTAGTTTTAAATTTCGATAAAGGATCCCTCTGAAATTACAATCACTGGTAGCTTGAAACAAAGAAGATGCAGACGCCTCTTATTATCAGCAACGGCTCTACGTGTTTTGTTATTGTGGCAAAGGCCAGCAACCGCTTCTGTAAGGCCGCAATTTCAGCCTTATTGTTGACTGGCGCGTACTTAGCCTAAATCTAGGGTTACACGATATGGATTTCCGTATCGCCTGAGTTCTGACGAAATTGATAAGAACCTTCGTGGGTAAAAAGTGCTACTCATTCTAGAATCTGGATTCTTTGCTAACTTTCAGTATTTCATCATTCCAGGAATTATCGTGGCATCGAACTAAAATTTACAGTGATTTTAGCTGTGTTGAC